ACAGTTGAGTCAAAGCATAGTGTGTAAAATACAGAACATAGCAAAGCCCACTGAATTCAGGTTCAGTACTGTACATGATGTTGGAAGTTCTTGGATCTCACATGGAAAAGTTTAAGCTACAGGCATTATTTTGTGTAAAACATTACCTTTTCTGTTCTCTAACCATCCAGCATCAATCTTGAATTTAAAAAGTAAAAATAAAAAAATCTAGCTTATATATGTGCATGTAAAAGTATAATGGGTGCTCCTTGTCATAACACCACTCATGGTTTAAAGTTATTACAGTTATTACAGTTTCGTAGGAACTGAGAATCTAGTTCCTTATGCTTTCTGGGCCATATGCAGACACGTTGCAAGATGTGCTATGCTCTAAATACTTTGTCCTCAAACTGCTGCCTGCTTCAGTTTGAATTTAATTTTCATGTAGTCTTCACAATGATCAGGTATGCCAGAAGGTGCTATACTTATTTAATGCAGAGATTTGTGCTGATTCCATCTGCTGGTAGAGTTTACCCAGAGCCCCCAACAGGAAGGTTTGCTATATTCCAGGCATTTTTCTCTCCTGATTTACTTATCCTCCTCCTTCCAGCCTGTACACATGCTGTGCATGCTTTTCAGATGGAGTAAGTGAGAGGCTGAGTGACAAATTAGACTGGAAGCATCTGTTTCTGCTTCTATGCTGGAAATGCTGAGACAAAAAATATACTGTATGTAAAGTGAGTTAGCACATTTATCCAACTTTTCTTTTGGAGATGATGCTTCACCAGATGAATTGTCCCTGAAATTGGGCTACTACTGAAAATAAATTTTGTATTTTATGGTGGAGTAGAAGAAAGTAATAACACAGATGTACCATAGAGGATATAAAGGTTCCTTGGAAATACATGAGAAATCCATGTTTTAGTAATTGAACGTACTGAATAGGGTTTTTTAACTGGGTCTGAACATTTGGGGCTTTTATATTAGCAATCTTGAAGATTGGGACTTCTCTGTTTGAATATAGGTATAGGAACTTATGTTAGCAAATATTTGCCCTGACAGTCAAACATTCCAGTATCTGATTTTCAAGCCCCTAGGTTTTTAACATTTCTATATTTACTTATTTATTTTAGTCTTGAAATTATTTTCTGTTTGTCTGGCATGTTATAGTTTTTCAAGCTATTGATTTAGTAAGATACTGCTTTCCAAATCTATGTTTTCTTATGTGCTCTCTTTAAAGAATTCTATTCCATAAATATTGTACTTAGATGTTTGCACTGGGAAATTAAAAGCAGGTTGCTGCTTAGAAAATAAAAAGATATGGAGTAATAATCTTTTTTATGTCAGTAGTACCATAAGCTTTTCTTGTACAGCATAAACCCTAAAACTAGCACCTACAGCTTTAGATGCTTAGGAGCGCTTTCATTTTAAAATGTCCAAGTTGAATTCAGATTGGTGTGGCTCTCTTATAGTCAGTAAAATCCTGGCACTTTTCAGACTAGGCATTTGAAGAAATTTTGTATGTTCAGTTTTAATGAAGTTAAATATATGAATGAAAATATGCAATACTGAGACCACAATGAGGTCCTGCTTCTCATGTCTTGGAGACTAATTGCAGAGAAAGGAGATTAGTAGGTATTATATTAGCTTTCCCTTCAGTAGAAAACCAAAGGTTAGAATTTGTGTGGTATTGAATAGATTATGCTTTGTAAGTACTAAGCTTTTATACTTAATTCCTGAAGCCGCAAGTAATCTTAAAAGATGTCTAATAATAATTTGAATTGAAAATGCATTTATTGGCATACATAAAAGGCAGAAGATCATGTCATGCTGATGCAGTATGTGGTGTTTGTTCTTCACTTACCTGCACTGCTGCTGCAAAATGGAGAGTGCTTCTGCTCAATAAACTTTCAGTATATCAAAAAACCTAAAAGCATTCTTAATTTAATAACGATTATAGTATTGTATCCTCCCTTGTTGGCAAGAGAAATGTGTGGCATTTGATAATACATATGATCATGTCAAACATACAGGTTTGTATTCCACATTGCTTTGTGGATCACCTCTTTATGAATGCTCTAGCTTTTAAAAGAGAAACTGATCACATGTTCAGTTAAGATAAATGCTGGCATTGTTTCTTGCTAAATGTCCCTGCAGACTGAATGCAGGAAGACTGCAACTCAAATTTCACAGGTTTTTGGTTTTCTGGATTTTTTTCTGTTCTGGGTAGTTGGAGACATGTGGTAAACTCAAATCCCAATCTGTAGTATAAAGTCCTTGTGCAGACCTGAGGTTGTATAAATTAATAATTACATTTAGTAGTACTTTTTTTTTTTTTCCTTTTCTTGTGGCCCACCATCTCTGACAGAGTATTTATGTTCCCCAGAACTAACATTCTTTACTTACTTGGATTATCAGTTTACAAAGCTACAGCTGTTCTTACTGTGTTTTCACCAGTGCTATGATATACTGAATAGGAAAGGGATTCTGATCTCAGCTGCACGGTTGTAAAATATAGTTTTACATGTGACCCACTTCTGCTGACATCAGTTGAATTTCTCTGGAATTTCATAGCCACAACTGAAATCAGACTTTAGTCTTAAGTCTCACTAAGTTTTTCAAAACCCTATAACATCTCTTACTTAAATTGTTGTAGCAATTCTTTCTGGCAAAAGCTTCAGGTAATCTCATGTTTGGATTTCAGTTAGAAGTTTGTTTTTGCATAGGCTCATGGGGTTTGAGTTTGTTTTTTTTGTTGGGGTTTTTTTCCACAGTTCTCATTTTTAGACTGAAGTTGTAAATGTGTGCTCTCAGTCACTCACAGCTAAAGCAAATAAAGAATTTAAGGACCTAATGCAGGACAAAGGTGTTTTATTGAGTACTGGATAAAGCTTCCCCACTCCTGCCACTGCCCCCATCCTCTTCCATTGCTGCTTAATTTTGGAAGCTCATAAGCTCTTCACCCACCTGCTGTTTTGACTAGGGAGTTCATGCGTAGGGTAGAACACAGTGCCTCCCTTGGGCTTTCACCAGGCATGAGCTAAAAGTAGTAGTGTAGAGTCCCTTGAGGACCCCAAAGTAAGAGGCAGCCTCAGCTCATGCCAGTGTAGATCTGACTGGGTAAGGCTTTTTACCAAATACTGTACGTTATAGGGAGATACCTTGGCAGTAGCTGCTTTTTGCTTTTTATATCATAGCCTTTGTCATGCCTAAGGAGTGAAAGCAATGGGAGCAATTTCCTCCCTCCTGAGGAATTCAAATCCGTCTCCACCTCACCAAAACATCTCCTAACTACCCAAGAACTCTGCCAGCTGTGAACATCCCTGTTTGGTTTGAAACTCTTCAGTTTGAAAAAAAAAAAGAAAGCAAGTCATCAGTAAGTTAATATAGTCTTGTGGTTAGAGCACTGGAGCTGGTCAGAAGTTTGAGACATGGTTGTTATTACCAGAACTCAAGATTTGTTGATTGATAGCTTGGTGTGATGTGTGGAGAAGACTTCCCCTCCTATATGGATAGACTAACCAAAAAGCTATCTTATAGAGTATCACTGCTGTTTCTTTATTAAAAGAAAAAAAAAAGTATTATTTTTCTAGGAATCATTTTCTGCAATTCAAATCTCACAGGTGAGATGCTGCATTTATCAGAAATTCTAAATTACAGGAGTTTGTTCCTTGTATCAGGCTTATGATACGTGCAACCCTATTATACTACTTCTGCAAAGCTGATCTGATCAGTGAAAAAAAGGTTGCCATGTATCCAGCATCCCAGAAGTCCCACAGTTTGTGTGATCTGATGAATTTGTGATCTTTTGCTGGGTTTGTAGCTGATTGGAAGTCTCATATATCCTGAGATTGTGAAAACAAGGTTAGTCATATGGTAACCCTAACATTTTGAATTGCATTATGAGGTATGTATTTGTCCTTCCTGCACAAGTCACAGGCACTTGCTGCAAGGTTCTGGATTGAATTGTGAAGATGAGGAGCATACATGTTTGTCAGATCTTGTGTGATGGAGTCTGCATATTCTGAACAAAATCACTTTATTCTCCAAGTTTGGCTAGTAAAGGAAAGGAAATATACTTAATTTGCTTTGAGTTTTTTTCGACTTTGCAGGTTTTTTGGGGATAAACATTTTATTTTAACTGTGAAAGAGTTACAGGAAAATAATTATGTTTGTGGTTTGGTTGTTTCACATTTCCATGGAAGAAAATTGAATTTTGTATACAAATTTTGTTACAAACAAATTGTGTACAAAGCTGACATAAAAACAGTGATCCTGGGTGTAAAGGCCTACATCGGCTTTTTACCCTGATACCTGAACATGAGAATGCCAGTGGTGTTGTCAAACATATCCGGCTTGTGTACCAGAGGGTGTCTTGTATCTACTTGACAGATGGTGGAAGAATAATGTGAAAAACTAAAACCCTTTAAAAGTGAAATTGTTTACAAGAGAAGTACCCTATTTTAGAAGGAAAACTTCAATAAGTGAAATTTTTGTAGCAGTTCAAAGTTACTGACATGCTGTATTGTCAACAAGAGTTGCAGATCGGCTTTAAAGTTCATCAGTGTAACTCGTTTCCTACTAAATAGGTACAAGGAGACATTTCTGCCTGTGCACCTGTATATTATGTAGTAAAATTTTAGTTACAAATTTGTTGGTCAACCTTTGAATTGGTATTTCTGTAAAGGGATACCAAAATGAGTACATTTTCCAATTATTACCTTCTCAGTATATATTTAATGCTAATATTCATCTTGCAAAGAGAGGTTACAAACAAAACTTCACTGAATATTGTTAGAAAAATAGTAACATAGAAGATAGCAACAGCCATATTTTAGCGTATCTCAGCCTGCTGTATCTTATTTTCAGTGGGATTGATGCTATATTAAAGTTCTATGTAAATTTTAATTGAGTCTGCTCTGTTGTCTGATTTACCTAAAAGTTGTGTTCATTTGCTCTTCTGTGAGAAACAGAGGAAAAAAAAGAATTCACTACATGAACAGTTGTCCCTTTGTTTGAAGGTTCAAGCTCAAGTGCGACATGCAAAACTCAACTTTGACAAACTGAAAACTGATGTCTGTCAAAAAGTGGATCTTTTGGGAGCGAGCAGATGCAACCTCCTTTCTCATGTGTTAACAACATATCAGGTATCCAAAGAAAACGTTGACCTCCAAAATAAAGATTTACTGTTAATATATGTTTTTTCAAGAGGTTACCACGTCAATATTCAACTGTAAGAACTGTAACTAGTATTGGAGGGGAGATGTGGGATTTTCACTGAAAGCAGATTGATATTAAAGCTAACATTGCATTGAAATTTCATCCTACCTTACAGATAACACTTCTTCATTTTTGGGAAAAAACTTCACACACGATGGCAGCCATCCATGAAAGTTTCAAAGGTTATCAGCCATATGAATTCACTATGTTAAAGGTAAGGAATGTAGAGATATGTTTGTGCTAACTTGGGTTTTGTTTGATTATTCCAAAAGAATGATAAAATGCAGCGGAATTAGGGAATTATGTTGCTCTCAAATCATGCAAGTGAATTAATGCTATTTTGCCTTTTCATCTGTTTTTTAAAACTCACATTCTTTTAGAACACTTTATTGGGCTAAATATTGAGTACATGGATGAGTTACATGGTTTCCACACCTCTACTGAGACTTTTTAACCCTTCAGTGCTCTGGGAAATAGTTTTACTTGACTAGTAGTATTTGCTGTTTCTTTGTAATATTGAAGTATGGAATATATTTGATATCTGGCTGTAGTCTGAGTTCACAGTTTCACCAGGTATCTAAAAGTCATCACTCAGCATTGTGTATTTTCCTGGTCATGCCTGCCCCTCCATAGTTGCTTGTCCCCTTGCCATTTGAGGTTCAGTAGAGGAATGGTAAAACAGTAAAAAAAAAATTATCCTATTTCCAATTATCCCATATTTTGTGCAACATGATAACTATGCTATTGGCTGATGCTATTTGCATGGGAGAAAAATAACATTTGTGTGAAGGATATCTGAGGGAAGGGTTAGCACTGGAAGGGAAGCGAGGAATGAATGCCTTGCAGCAAAGCCACTGCTTGCTTGAAGAGACAACCCAGTTTGAAAACAATTACAAGGCATAGCCTCAATCCATGAAGTGCTTGTGCGTTTGACACTCAGAAGTGGAAGTTGAACTGCATTATGCTATTTAGCCTGCAGCTACCCCAGAGCTCCTGGAAAAGAAGCACCAGAAGGTATATGTTTTAATTCATCCCAGACTACCAAACTTGTCTGTACATGACTATGCTATATTTAAAGTTGTTTTCTAGAATGTGGGTTGGGAGGGAGCAGTTTCTGAACTTTGAAGTGCATAGCGAGCTTGTGGAGGCTGTTACTTCTGCAGCATGAAACATCACAATAGACCAAACAAATAAATTTTAAGCTCAGTCTCTCATGACCAAGGACAAAAATGAAGAGGCTTATAAATTGTTTCATCTTACCCAGCCTCTGAAGAATCCTGTCTTGCAGGAAAAGACCTCATTTGCTATGAAGTTAACATAACTCTAAGCTTATTTCTTGCACAGTGCACATTGTGGAAGATGGGGTGTAGCCAGAGCTTGCTTCAGCAGTCTGCTGGAGCAGATTTCAGCAGGAGACAGTAGGGCATAGTTACCTTGACATTGCTGGTAATTACCTACACACTTACCAATTAAATTCCAAACCGAAAATCCCCTTTATTTCCTCACTGTTGCTTCTGATGTCTAGTTCACAGCCTGGGTTTTGCATGGCCAGGATTTACCCTGCTCAGGAGCCTGCGTATTGTGCTTGTGGACTGTTCTCATAGCTTCCCAATGTTAGAAGGTTTCTGAGGATTTTTTTTCTCTTTGCTTTTATGCAAACCAATTTCATTCTGATTTGTGTAGGTAGCCTATATTGTTGCTGGATATTCATTCTCTTTTATATCTAAAAATTCGATTATTTGAACAAGATGTATGATTTTTCAAAAAGCATAGTAACATTTGGACATTGGAGAGAAACTTGTAGAGAAAATTCACCTGTCGTGGAGAGTGAAATACCCTTGTGATGGAGGATGAGAGAGATTTGGGGATGTTTGTTAACTTTTGAACTTCCTTCTGTGAAAGATTTCAGTATGATCTAAATTTGAAATTAGATTGGAAATCTGTGATGAAGAAATACAATCTGTATTGAGTCGACACATATGTAACAAGCACCCTTGAAGCAAAAAGTAACTGTAATAATGGTTGTGAATATTGTAGTGTGTTTAGCATGCAGCCTAACTTTGTTATGAGAATCTTAACCATTTTCATTGCTGGCCTCCTGCACTGAAAAGATACAATTTCCTGGTTTTGCAGTGAAATGTATGCTGAGAAATTGTGCTAATCAGAGGTAGTTTTATGCTACAGAATTTAATGGAAGTCTGTGGTTTCATAAAACAGCTGCTTGGGAATAAGACTATGTTACTACCTTTTAGTTCTTTATTTCTTTCAGTCTCTAGAGCGTGGGATTACTTCCTATACCAAGTGTCCTCCATGATCTCCTTTCCCCCAGTTAGTAGTTCCTGTTTGTTTATGTTAAATGATTACTGAGAAAATTAAATCAAAATCTGGTGGTTGCATCAGGTGAGATTCTGTTGCCTAGGAGAATATATGTCTGCTGCTACTCCAGGTGCCTTACTAGGGTAAGTCACCTCACCTTCACTTGTCATTTCTGAAGGGTGTAGGACTTCTGTGGGTCCCGTGTCTCCTCTGCTACACCTGGGTGTGGAATAACAGTAGATGTTTATGGTTAGGGAACCGATCTCTCCCATTCATATCATGTGTTTATGCCAGAGTAACTATATATTAAGAAGAACCTTCAAGATAATTCTATACTGAGATTACATGGTATTATTTTTTTATGCAATTTAATAAATAGCTATAGGAGATCTAGGGCAAGTGTAGTTCCTGATGGAGAAATTTTGGTCTAAAAATATACCAATTGAAGATGCCTTACAAGCTAAAAAATATACAATCCAAACATATAATAGCTTATAACACAGATAAAATATTTCAGCATGCCCATTTCTACATTAAATCGGGAGGTACCACTTTTAGAATATTTTCCCTATGTTGTATCTTAAAAGGGATCTTTCCTAAAAGAATTTTTTTAGTTTGGTACTTGCAAATAATTTTTGTCTATTATGATTCCAGTAGCAATCTAGCAGCGTAATTCACCTTTTGCTGCTAGTGATCCTTTTGAATTAAACTAAGCATACGTGTATGTAGGATTAGCATTTTACTTTAAAACAAGAATTTAAAGAAACTGTTAATACTTGATTTAGATGTAGATTGTCTTACTGAAAAATTAGAAGGTGCTATATACTGGAAAATTACTGTCTGTATTTAATAGTATGAATATATTCATGTACCAGGTTTACCTCAGGAAAGAGACTCTTAAAAGCCTCTCGGGATTGTTTCTGGAAAGAAAACATTGTCTTTAGAGATGTTTGCCAAAACTCACTTAATGAAAAACAGACCATTTGTTTTCTTTGCTTCAGGGTATATGCTGAGAGTAGTATAATTGTGCTATTGCAGCTGTATTTCCTAACTGCCAGTTTCATGCTTGATGAAGGATGATTATTAATGTTCTAACAACTCTGTATTGTGATGTAAAAGTATCTGAAGTATCTGTTACTGTATCAATTGCTGTACTATTAAAGATGATGGGCTGCTGTTTTGGTAAAGCCTTTAAAGTTTCATTGTCTTGAAATTACTATATATCACATGAATTCAAATTTATTTCAGGGGCTGTTTTTCAGGAATAATACTTCTTTTTAATTTCTGTCTGCATTTATTTACCTTAGTTACTTAATTAATAATTAGTTACATTTTTTACATTTTAATGTATAATACCTAACTTCCTGAAGAGTTCATATGAGCCTAGAAATAATAATAGTTCTGGTAATAGAGTCAAAAGGTGCATTTCTCAGTGCATCCATTTATTTCTGTGCAAAGTGGAACACTGCTCCTTACATGGTTTGGAGAACCCTGTCCAAGCAGGTACTACAACACTGTTGCCTCATGCTGATTTCTGCTGTAGTTGGGTATCCTTTCTTTTTTTTATCCTATCCTTTGTTACATGTTGGCTTTACTCACAGCAATATTGCATATCATTTTCTATCTCTAGGGGTTTTGTGGGGGCATTAGGTGTTTATTGGGTTTTTCCTGATGAATCTCCATGAGGAAATTTTGAGGCTACCTGCTTTTCCCTCTTCCCTTTCAGCTCTCCCCCAAATGAAACCTATCCAAGTTTTTGTCTCCTCAGTGGTGCTGCGTTTCTCCACAGGTGTCGTCCTGGCTCCTGGATCTGCCCTTACTGTGTTGCTTTGATTCTTTCTCAGTCAAAAGGAAGCGCATTAGTTGTCTTAGGCACTTGGGGGGAGCTGTGGGCAAGCTGAGTGCTTTGTCAACACTCTGGTGATTTAACTGCAGAGGACAGGTTTTGTGTGCAGTCCAGATGATCTTGGCTTGACTTGAAAGCAGCCCAGATACAGGTGAAGGAATTTTGTGAGCAAGTAACAGTCAGCCACAAAGTAGTGCCTGAGCTGGAACCAGAGTTAACTCAGAGGAAGTCTGAGCAGAGGAAGTCTGCAGCAGAGGAAGTCCCTGTAATGCAGAGCTATGCTTTCTTTCTCTGCATTGCACTTCTGTACAAGTATAATGCATGTTCTTATGTTTTTGAATTCTAATTCAGGTCCTCTTGGAGTCAATGGAAAAATTCCCATCAATTTTAATAGTACAAGAAGTGGAACCTAATCAATAGCCAGTACCAATGCAGTTAAAGGGTAACCTATTCCTTCACAGGTGATCTAGCCTGAGGTGACTAGTGTCCATTATTCAGAATCCAGGAAGTACACTTATACATGATTCTGGATAGCACTGTTACAGTGTCAAAAAAAAATAAATAATAAAAATGTGGCAATCACAGAATAAGGTAAATTTCGTTAATGCTTCTATTTACTAGTTCTGCTTTTGTGATACCTCATCTTTGGACATGCCTACAGTGCTAAAGTAGCTTATGACGAATTAATCTGAAATTCTAAATAGAAAAAATAACGTACTAAGAGGAAAAAAATGCAACTGTAGTATACAACAGATCCATTACTTTGGTTTCTGAAACACTGAAGTATACATTTCCTCATACAGACAAGTACTGAGCCAAGCAGAAACTAGAATGCCCCTACTGGGGATTCATCTGTCCTAGTTAACAGGGCAGTGCAAACAAGAACTGTGACATGCCTGGTCCTGCTTTTATTGTAACAGATGGGCTGGAGACTCTTAACTTTTATTTAATAGATGAGATGGATTTAGCAGCCACAGTTTTTCCTTTTTTTTTTTTTTTTTTACTCTTCTGATGAAACATACTACAATTTTGTTAAGCTTCCTACATTTTTGTGCTCATTAAGTTCTGCACAAAAGGTGGCTTATTTGGTTTAGCTTCAGCTTTTTGGGGAAAGAGGGGAGAAGATGGGTGAGATGCACAACTATGAATATCTGTGGGATAAATAAACTCACAAGTAGTCAGAACTATTCACATGAAATGTGGTTTTATTTTTCAGAAACTGAGTTAGGCATTGGGAATATGAACATGTTTTCACCTTCACAGCAAAACCATTTGATAAAGCCAAATACCCACATTGCTAACATCTGTGATTATTTAATTACTATATTCAGTTATTTAGCTTTTCATACAGCAGTACTAATTAATGCATAACAGAGACAAGCAGTAGTATATGTATCACTCCTGTAATCTCAAGAGAGCTGGCCTATAATGTCTGCTTGTTCACATGTCCAAATTTTGGCTATAAAAATGCTAACGTGGAAGCTGCACATTGTTATCTTGTAGCATATGGTCTTTCAGATTGCAAAGGGACAGTAAGGCTTCCTAATACCACACCTGGCCTCTACCTAACTAACTATCCAACATTTTAACACGTTTTCAGATTCAGGATACACACAGTACCTTCCCATTACACTGCAGTTGCCAAGGTTTTGTCAATAGTTGTGTCAGGAAAAAAGAGACTGAAGAAGTAAAGAAGCAGTGTATGAGGAATAATCATGTAAAGAATAATTTTTTTCTCATATGGGGGAAAAAAATAAAGGGACTAGGGGCAAAAAAGGAGGAAAAAAAAAAGAGGCAAAGCCCCCAAAATGGCAAAGAACATGCTGTCAGTGCCTGCTTTGCACATGGTGTATGTGGTTTTACTTAGAAATATTGGAAACAGAACATGAATTTAGAAGTATTCAAGCATCACCTTCTTGTATAAAAGGTGTTCATGTGACTCAATTTGAGTATCTTCAAACCTTTTTTTATTTTGCTTGAGTCAGGTATAGTTTTGATACAGCTCAAAACCATTCTTACTAATGTGGGTTCTGTAATTTGGTTTGGTCTTAAATGACACACATTCTATTTTGTTATCTTCATTTATGTTATGGTTATTATCTAGAGCTTACAAGATCCTGTGAATAAACTAACAGAAAAAGCAGAAAAGGAGGACCTGCAGATTGAGAGCACCAAATCAGTACAAGATCAGCAGAGTCAGTAAGTTGCATGGCTTATAGATTAGTAAGTATTTTTGTCTATAATCTGCTTTCTGGTTGCTAAAGTCTCCAAACATTTATAAATGGAAATGCAGACACAGCTAGTCTGGTCACATTAGCTAATAGGAAGCTTAATACAAGAATTCCTGAAATGTTGTAATGTGTACATGAATAAATTTTAAGGTGGAATTAAGAGATTTTAAAAGACCCGTTAAACCTTTATATGTTTTTCATCTTTCTTAGCCTTCTCTTTATTTTTCAGCTTTTGCTTCATTTTTTCTGTAATAAAAGAAATGGTAAACAACTACACATGGAAGAAGACATATGAGCATTGTATTTCTCCCTTCAGCAGAATCTCCTTTCACCTGGGAATAGGATATGGATTCCTGATTGCTTTGAGCAGCGATTAGTTTTTGTAATGTACACAGCATCAGTTAGTAATCCAATGAAGCAGTAGGTACTTAGGGTAAAGTACATCTAAGTGAGCTGATGCTATCAGGGTTTGAGTTACCTGGTGCTCTGAGGTGAGAGAGGCTCATGAATGAACTGCTATTGGGAGAGGAGAATAGGAGAATGAGATGTGATTACTCCCCTATGGGACCATCAGGATTCAGTTGTGAGGAGATGCAACGCTGATACAATCCTGCTGCCACCTGTTGTTTTGACTGTCCCTGTTTAAAGTAACCAGCAAAGGATCAGTTGTCAAAAAAGCAGAGAACAGCTTGACTGATTAGTGGGTTTTGATCAGCTATTTATAATGGATTTTTAAAGAGTTCTGTTTTCCAGTCCTATTTACTTGTTTAGATTCAAAATCACTGACCAAAACCAGTATATAAATTGGTCAGATTTGGTACTATTGAGATTAGAAAGGACTCGGCCAAGTGCCATTTGGCAGGTGGTTGTCTCCACAGCACTTCCTTGAATATGCTGCATGTCATGTGACAATAATAAGTAATTTTATAAATTGTTCTCCTCAGTGTTGAATATAAAGTTCTATAATGAATTTATGATTTATGCAAGATGTGTGCATTTGCACCTACTAGCAAATGCATCAGATGACATGTCATAGTTGTATTTATTTATAGATTATCTTTTTTCTTGTCTGTCATAAAACTGAGGTGAAAAAATATGTCACCATTTTGCTGTCTAAAACAAACCATAAATAAACATCTAAGATTCTAGAAGAATTACACAAAGCAAAGCTTTTAAAATCTGAAAACTTTCCACTGACAGTAAATATTCTTTATGCTAGAATTTGGCCTGACTCTAATTTTCCTCTTCTTTACCACAAGCATATCTTCAGGAGCAGGAGAGGTGATGACTCCTGTCCTGTCACTAGAGGATAGGAGGAATGTGCCTGCACAGACCTCTTAACCACATCAGCCTTGTGTCTCCTTTCTTCCCTGCTGGTTGAATAGCTTTACACAAAGTAACAGCAGTTAGAAAGTATTCTAGCAGAAATTCTTTACTGAAGTGGTTACCTTTTTATAAGAATTGCATGTAAACCACAGCTTTTTATTCTGTCAAGAGCTTTTTCATCAACACTGCTGTTCCATTTATTTGGAAATCTACGGCCATGGGACAAAACTCCCCTGACTGTTGATTTTTAGCTAGTTGGTTTGTTTGTTTTGAACAGTTGTATCACCTCCATGATAGTTATGAAAGACCAAATCTGGAGAAGCAGACTACACTATACTTTCCATTACAGAGATTTAGTTAGATTAAAAATGAAAGGGTGGTAGATTTTGATAGTCTTCAATCTAATTTTGGTTTTCAACAGACTTCTGCCAATGAAACATTAAAAGTTAACAGCAGACCAGCATATACAGCAAATGTGGGCGCCCATCTGAATTACTCTTGGTTTGTTATTGATATGATTTTTAATGATAGGACCAAAAAGAGAAAAAAAAAATCTATAGCCTGAGAATTATTTTATCTTTTTTTTTTTTTTCATATTAAGGTTGATTTCATTAGATGACGAGAGCCATACCAAGGAATCAAGCTACTCAGGTATTTTGTTTCTTTTTGTCAGAACTTCGTAAGTGCTGTGATACATGTTTTTTTTCAGTTTTATTTCCTACATATTCAGCTTCACCCAGCAAATCCCAACAAATGCATGAAACTTAAGGCCAGAAAGATCCATTTAAGCCAATCTCTTACATATTATATCACACTGCAATTCATTCAATTATTGTTAGATAGGTCAAATAGCTTGTCTTCCAAAGCATAATTCTTACCTTGGGCATGTCTTCAAGGAAAGAACATAAAGATTAATCCCTGGCAGTGTTCAAGGCCAGGTTGGACAGGGCTTTGAGCAACCTGGTCTAGTGGGAGGTGTCCCTGCCCATGGCTAGATGATCTTTAAGGTTCCTTCCAAACCAAACAAATTTGTGATTAGTAGGTGTCGAGATCAAGAAAACAAGCCACACCTAACATCATAGCTGATTCTACTCTGACAAGGGGCTTGGACAAGATGACCCTTCCAGCCTAAATAATGCCATGGCTTCAATGTATCTTTTTCTATTAAATTAAAGAGAATGGAAGAAAATCATTTTAACATGTGGTGTTTTATCCTCCATGACTACTTTATCCTCAAGACTCCTTTCAAATCTCCATTTTGATAGGCTAACTATATTGATGTCTTGAAGACATCTTATCTACTTTATTTATAGACTTTATTGCTATTCCACTGTACAACATCCCCTTTAAAATCTGAAATATATAACTGGACCTTTTTGATGTCTTGTTTCTAGAAGGTAAAATCACATTCCCACTTCTAAATCCGAGATGATCTCATTTTTCTGCAACATCAAGTTAGAAGCTCATATTTAAATTTGTTGTTTATCAAGACTCAGCTTCTTTTTGTCACAGCTTTCTAAGACTCGTTCTTCCTTTCTGCAGCATGACTTACATTCCTTATCCTAGAGGTATAACTTATGACTTAGCAGTATTAAATTATCCCAGCTTTGGCTACAGCAACTGTATGACTGGCCTGAATGACCACCTCTAATAGCCTGTTAGTTGTTTGCACATTTTGTTCAAGAGTGATTTTTGTGTTTACTTCCAGATGACTGCTAAAGCCATTGAATAGCAATGGATATAACAGTAAACCTTGCAGATCTAAACTAAAAACACTTCTGCTTTGCAGTTATTTCTCCTAACAACTGTTTTTTGAAATCTGTTAGTTTTCATGTTCCTAATCCATTCAATATGTTCATACTAGGTATTATGACCTTTTGTTTGGAAGGCTATGCAGTACAAAGACAAGTTGTTTCTAAACAAATATTTTTACCAAAGAAAGCTCATAGTTTTATCAAAGAAATCAGTTGAGGGTTTTTTTTTTAACTTGGTCTGCTTTGCATAAACCCACCTTTTATTACAGGAATATTTATTGTGCTTATATTCTTTTGCTGAATCAAATACTTGAATGGGATTTGGCTAATGTTTTGTCTAGAAGTAATGGTGAGCAACCAGCCCACAGTTACCTACAATTAATGAGTCATCTGTTAATTGTTGTTGTTGTTTGGGTGTTTTTTGTAATTATGACACAATATTAGGACTTTTCTAGTGTTTTGAAGTTTCACCTATTTTGCAGTTAATTAGATCAGATACCTCTTTGATGAAATATTTTAATATTCTTGGATACAAAATCTGACATATTTTCTTAGCAGATGTTTTCTAGAATCTCAGTTACTTATGGGCTGTAAAATATTTCACTATCATCCATAATACAAGTACTTTGTCTCTTTCTCCATCATCTCTAAAGGACCTGAAGTATCTTGGAATACTTATTCCTGCTCTGCTGAATTTTTCCATCTCCCTTTACTAGTGGGTCTGTGCCATTGCTAAGATTTTTTTTCCCCTTGAAGTACTCTGTATGTACTGAAGTAGTACAGATGTAGCGCTACTCACAATGGAGCTATGTTTCATCTTAGTATTCCTCATCAGCTATTTCTACTTCATAACTTTCAATTGATTATCATATGCTCTGCATTTTCTCTTATACTATGGATGTTTTTAAGGTTGGTGCCACAATATTTTCCACTGAACTAAGGCAGGCTTTTAGTGACAGATGTTCTTTCTTCGTTACAGAATTGTGGCTATTCATATCCCACCTTTCATGAACTTCTCTTTCACTTCCAACACACACTCCCCTGCCAGTCAGTGTAGGGTTGGGTTTTTCTCCTTTAGCTTTGTTCATTGTCCTTTTATGGAAGTGTCATGTATATTTGTCCTTATGCCTCTGCTATTTATATGAAGTGTAATCAGATGTGATCATCAGTCCTTAAATGACCATCTGATTCATTTCTGTCATTGTCCTAGCAAAGCCTTGTTAAAATAATATGATTCAAACAGCAAGCTGTTCTGCTTCACTTAGTTCTGAACAAACCTTGAAGTTTCTATTGAAAGGGTTTGGCATTCAATATTTATTACCCTATAGAGAATTTTATTTCTCCTTTTCAGCCTCAAGTTTGAGGCTTCCAGCAGATCTGCCTTCCAGTTCTGGCAATACTGTGACCAAGTCCTTCATTTGCCTTTAGAGCTACAGACTTAGCTGTCTAGAAGCTAGATTTCCTCAACAGTTAACGGGGAAAGGCATGGTAACTCATCCCTCCTGTTTTGCTACATATCTTAAATGGGATTACTGACCTGAGGGAGATGTCTTTCTCTTCACTGGTAGATGGAGATTGTTTTGACTCCACATCTAATTTAAGAGACTTGCTCAAAACTAGAAGTAGTTATAGTTGGAGCACTGTGGTATTTTTTCACCTCTGATAGCCTATAACCCTCAGCTATACATTTTCTCTCCTACTGGGAGGGAAATTAGCCCATTTATTTTTCTCCAGGAGAAAAGGTGCTTTTTCTTATATACTGACCTGAGTGCTTTGGGGAAAGATTCCTTTTCCCCATTCCTGGACTTGGCTTCATGGGAAGAACATAATTGCCAAGGAAGGTGATTTAGGGACTGACAAGGTCCTGGCACTTTTATGCTCTCTCCTGGCCTTTGTAAGTACAGGCTTCTAAAAGAAGTGTTTCTGCTTCTGGAGGACAGCAGAGACTTGTCTGATCCCTTTAGTCACCTCAGTTGGGTGTACTCAGCCTGGAGCTGGACTAGTGTGGCAGTTGGTGAGTCAAAGGAAGTTTCCCCCCAGATTATTATTCAGAAGTTTGCCTCACTTCTTAGAAATGCTTGTATCTTGGGCCTTTCATCCATTGTTACCAGGTTCATTTTAAACATAAATGACATTAGCCATTGCGTCTTGATCTTGTAGTGATGTTGTTTATATGCATGGTATTGTGAAAAGTACAATTTGACGTGCTTATGGATTTTAATTACAGCTGACGATGGCAAGGATGTCGCATCTACGTTACAAGAAAATCGTACCCACAAGCAGAACTCAGGTGAAGAGACTTAAGAAAACTACCTTTAGATGTATACTGATTGTCAGTGTACTGCAGATCTTCCTTTATTGTTTTTTTGGTTTTTTTCTTCTTTTTTTTCTTTTTTTGATTTAGGTGCCATAGATGACTTACTAGACCTGCAAGCTGAAGGAAATGGTATGAAACATTAGTGCATGTCTGGTTCATCTGTTTTTCTATTACAGGCACCAAGTATAATTTAAAACTTAGATCATAATTGTTTTCATAATCTGAAAGGTTGAATGAAATTATACAGCTGCAATATTTAAACAGTGTTAAAGGAAACTCCATATACATGCAGAGGCACTATAATGTGAAGTAAACCTTACTGGGGATAAAATGCATTGTAACAGGTGATTCAAGATTAGCTGTACTAGAGTATATAAAATTTACCCCACTTAAGTAGGTTCCACTGTATACCTTACCCCTCCTATAATATTTCACAAACTTTTCTTTTGGGTTCTTCAGTTGTTATACCACAACCCTTGGCAATACACTAGTAACAATCAGATTTTACGTCAGAAATGTACAAATTATTTTGGCATATTAAAACAGTATAAGAACTGGTGACTTCTTTCAGCCAGATAGTCAATTAAATCAGTTATGCTGTTCTCATACACACATCAGAAAGCAATTTTTCATTCCAGGCTCTACTCCTACCTTTACGCTTTTGTTAGATCTGTGGCAGCTCAAGGGGATGTGCTGTTTGGTTGGGTTTTTTTTTAAGCAAAGGTTGCTGTTTTACCATATGTAAAGATCTGTCTAAAAGTTTTATGTAGAGTTTTCCTATGCACTAAGAGTACTGCCTATAATTTCTCAATTGTTTTTCATTCATATATCTCAAAAGAATGAATAAAAAACCTTAAACAACAATAAAAACAACTGTGGCAACTCAAAAAGCAAGTAAAGAAGCAAAGAAAAAAATCCGTTAGTGTAGTTAAGTCAGATTGGGAGAGTAATTTGGGGTATTTAAAGCACTGCCTTCATGGTAGGTAAGGAAGAGAATTTGCAAACTCCTCAACTTCGGATTTGCCATGGGCAGTCTCTTGCACTGTGGGGATGGGGAAATTACCCATGTGGGGAATCACCCATGAAGGCAGAAACAGGGAAATTTCCTCAGCTTTCTGTTCAGAAGCAGCCCTAATCTGTGGATAGATAAGGTAGTGATGACTTATTTTCTGTGATTAATAAAAAAAGGTGAGTGCATGTCTGATAAAGGTCTTTTTTTCTTCTGGTTTTCCCCTTACTCAGTTCCTTTCCTTGTTGGACCTTCTTCGTGGAGATACAGATAATGCATACAATTGTTGGTCATGCAGGTTTAGCTATGTCAGTTGGAAGGCTTTTTGTTAAGTCAAACAGTTATCAATAGGAAAACAGTTGTGGGGTAGCTACATCACATAAGGATGATTATGTTAATGTTACAATATCAGCCATTTACCCTAATTTTACACACTAGCTAGCTTTAGACTAGTGAATATTGTATTAAGTGAAGCAGTTCAGTTAGAGGTACCTTTTAGTGTGTTTCAGTATCAATTCTCTATCCTGAGTTTCCAATCATGTATTATTGTAAATTTTTTTAGTTTCTCTTCCCATTTTTTTTTATTTGTACCAAAAAAATGAGGTGTGTTTGCAGTGAGCATTGCTAGAGGCTTTTTTCAAACAACTACAAAAATATAATGACATTCCTTTTTCAGTGTTTTATTGGGAATTTGGGGCTTTTTTTCATGGACATTTATAAGCTTAGGTCTGAATGTGCAGACAGAAAAAAAAAGGATTTTGACTGAAAATGGGCAGTGAAAACAGAAACAGGAAAAGAAAGAATAGAACATTTATGGGTGAGGTGAGAAAGTCGATATCATTCTAGTAAATTGCAGAGATACTACATGAGTAATATCTCAATAAGCAAGGCCGGTTTCAAGATGACATTTATTGCCAACAAGAGTAGAACTTACCACTGCTTACTTGAGGTAGCCTGAGCATAAGCACTACCCTGTCCTCCCCTGCCCTGGGTGCGTTGTCCCTGCGGGAAGATTGGAAGGACAACTGCTGAGATGAGAAATGGTGATTCCTGTGATTCCTGGTGGTCGTTCACACTACAGCAAGACCAGCTTATCAGATGTAAAGCTATACGTTGTACTTTCTCCCCCAGTAAAAATGGGACTACTACAATGGGATACCCAGGTGACGCAGTTTTGAACTGAGCTGTGTTGCTGCGAAGCTTTTGTTCGTTGTAGGTCATTTGTGGTTAGGTGCAGTGTTGGCAGTATGTCTTAGTAGATCTGTTACTGACGATGCAGCCTTTGCATCTCCCCCTGCAGGCCTTCCAAGTTCATGAAGGGGCCTCCTGAAATCACCTTCGAGATGCTGATGCCCTGTAGAGATCAGATTCTTAAGTGCCTTTGAATTAGCAAATGTGTTTTCCCTACAGAAGGCTTTACCCCTCTGACTCACCTGGTGAATAACTTGAGGGGGATTGTAGGTGCTTGGATAACATTTAACATTCTTTGCTGTTTATCTGAAGATGGGAAAGCAGCCTAAAAATTCGTAAGAACAAATTGTCTTCTACGGTATTTTAGTTCTAGTCTAGTGGGAACATCAGGAGAATTGACGTATTTGTAATGTTTCTATTTCTAGTTTTTGAGCCTTGTCAAGGCATACAGAGGTATATAAAAAGGTAAATTAGAATGGAACTGAATCTCACAGATGACTTTAGTAATGAATAAAATCCTTATGTGTTGTTTTGTTTGTTTCTTGGTACAAAGGTGTGGATTCTGACTCATCTGCCTATTTTAAAACAGTTTTGTGCTTTTTTTCTCCTCTGACTCAACTTCAGCCATTTCATTATAAATTATTACAGCTATTGAAAGGGAACTTTCCTGAGAAGGCAGTTGCATTTAAATTAAATGGCCTGTTGCAACCAGTTTTCGACTGTCAGTCTTTTACCCCAAACAGAAAGGGTTAAAGACATCTTTGCAAGTTGTATGCAACTTGGAGACCTCAGCTGATCTACCTGAACTTTGGAAAACTAAGTTGCTTCTGTGCCTTACCACAAGTATGAAGCAAGTATAATTAAGAGAAGCTGATCTGGCTATCAGTAACATAACATTATCATCATTGTTAACTACCATTTTTGTACTCCGTGTACTCCCACAGTGGAGCTCTAGTTTCCAAGTACGATAACTCTTGGGCTTCTGTGATAGTTCTTTCACTTTCCAAGTATTTTGTAAGCTAGAGAAAAGGATTACAATCCTGGTTACATGTTTCATGTATTTTATATAGCCATTTAACATTTCTAAAATAGGAAAAACTTGATTTTAAGGAGTAATGGCTCAAGTGATCTAAGAACTTCTTCAGCTGCAGTTCTGGTGCTAGAAAAGTAGCAAGGGGAATCAGAAGGAAAGTGGCCCCAGTTATTTCTCAGCAGCCTAAGAGAGGAAAAATAAAGATACTGCAACACTGAACAGTGTAGAAATCTCACTCTCTGTAGAGTTGCCTGTTCTTATGGGGAAATAGCAAATAACTCAAGCACTGGTCAGAAGGTCATAAAGGTGATCTTAAGTGTGTTCTCACAAAATTCCAGAATAATCCCCAATTTTTATTTATTTAAAATTTATACCATTCTGGGGGTTGATAGCTTTATATAATACTTCAAAAAGCAACATAAAATTAGTCTTCTCCAATGTTTTAAATATTAGACTATGTAATGATTTTGGTGTGGTGTTCAATAGATTTTTTTTTTAAACATACTTGTAATACTGTTTTCAATGAGAAATGAGTCTTAACAGCAGTGAGGTTAGCTAAGATAACTGAGAAATTATTTGTTGGATAAGCTACAAGTCCAGATGTCCAAAAGAATTAGGTCTAACATAGAAAAGAGCAAATATTCATGTAAAAATACTCCATCTCATTTAACATGCAAAACATAGATTGGATATTTTTAAAAGGTTCCTTCTTTTCTGTGTTTATCTAAAAAATGATTTATCTTGACTTTCTTGTTCTGAGACAGCTTCAAAGAATCAGTTTGTGAGGTCCTTGGAGTCAGAATCTGGTGATAATATGGTGTTACTGAATGAGATTCTCAACGCTTCCTCCCCAGACGATGGGGAATTTAGCAAAGAGTGGACAGCTGTTTTTGGACAGGTTACACTTGCTGATCTCACCATGAACTCTTCAGCTGGAGATATGGAAAGTACTTCATCATCTGTGGCCCCAACACCATCAGGCTACTTGCCGTCGCAACTGTTAGACCAAAACATGAATGACTTGCAGTCATCTTTACATGGTGAGAACTCATCTTGTTCTGCTCATGTTTCGGGTTTAGGTTTTAGAGTATGGGTTTCTGCTATGCAGAAGCTTATGTGACAGCTTATGTTGTGCCATAGCTGCAGAAACCTTCAAGTTAAAGTACAGCGTGGCCTGTAGAAAAATATGTGAGTAGCATATTTGTTTTTCTAGCTGTGAACATTCAGTATTTGTGAGTGAAGTACCCAAAACCTGAAGTCAAAATTACTGTCTTGAATGTTTTCATTGAGTTTCTGAAATGTTTTGTAGTCCTTTGAGATATTTTTTTCTGTAACAGAAAATCTGCTTGGGTTGGTTTTACTGTTTAATTCACAACTGTCTCTGTTAAGGGGCCAAAGAACCAAAAATGATTACTGTATTTTGTCTGGGAATCCTATTTCTAAACAACATGGTGAAAATCAGTTGCAGTCATTTATTTTCTGGGTTTTTTCTTTTGTTGTTTAGGTTTGGGGTTTTTTCCCCTAAAGCATCCCATACTGTTGTGTGCAGGGTTATGGCTAAGAGTAGAATGGGTTGTCTCACCCTAGCAACCATACAGGTGGATTCCGGTTTTAGGCTGGTTATCAACTCTTTCTTTGAGAGATACAACTCTTTCTTTCCCTTTTATTTCATACAGTTCATTTTCTTGGGTTTTCCAAGCTGCTGCTGGGAGGAGAGGAAAGAGGGGGAAAACTAGGGCAGAACTTTCCTGCTGCTGCTTTGGCTTTGAGGAAGGGAGGGAGGAAAGCAGACTGGTGATAACCAGCCAACAGCAACTACCTTCATCTTCCCCACAGTCCTGCTAGATTTCTCCTAGGGCTTTGCAGGCTGGAGGAGGACCTTGCCTTTTTAGGCTCTAACCCAAGTGATTTAAATCTCATTTGGGGAAGAGTGATGTAGGAAAGACTAGCAGACTGACTCCATCCTGAAGACTACTTCTTGGAACCCATGCAAGTAGTATAATCATGCATGATGTAAAATGACCTGTGAGTTTGGCAAGAAGAAAGGCAGGCAAATTTACCTTATAAATACAGTTACCACCAGCACCCATAAAGCCACATACTTGTGTTCACTGACTTCAGCATTTAGATGGAAACTGGGGGAGCAAAATTTGCAATGATGCACAGTTTTAGATGAATTTTGAGCTGAAAAAAATCATAGAACCATAGAATCATAGAATAGTTAGGGTTGGAAATGACCTCAGGACCGTCAAGCTCCAACCCCCCTGCCATGGGCAGGGACACCTCGCTCTAAACCATATTACCCAAGGCCTCATCCAACCTGGCCTTGAACCCTGCCAGGGATGGAGCATTCACAACCTCCCTGGGCAACCCATTCCAGTGCCTCACCACCCTAACAGGAAAGAATTTCGTCCTTATATCCAATCTAAACTTCCCCTGTTTAAGTTTTAACCCATTACCCCTTGTCCTGTCACTACAGTCCTTAATGAAGAGTCCATCCCCAGCATCCCTATCAAGAGGTTTAGTCATTGCATTGTCAAATTAAACAGTTTGTGACAGAAGCAGACATGGTATCTATTGAAAGGAAAAAAAAGAACAATGAAAAACACCTTTTCTTGATACAGAGACATAAAGAGATTTTAAGCAAAGTACTTAAAATGGCAACAAATATTATGGGATTTAATTTTTTCAGAGTTTTTACATATTTTTATGTGTAAACATGTTTTTGAAGGAAAAATATTTTTGAGGTGGAGATGAAAAACGGGCTGGGTATCCTTTCTGAGGCTGTTGATACAGCTCTCATTTGCACAAGAGACTGGCATTGGCTGTGCTGTTTGCTCTTCAAAATCTGAGCTTACGTATTTTTCATGCAAGGAACGCTAGAAGTGGAAAATCCATTCCAGTCAACATGGTATCCAGAAACCTTTTTGAATAAGAAAAGGAATAAATCTGAGCTGGAAGAATAAAACATGTGGATGTTTCCAAATGAATTTCCAGGGTTTTGGCAAAAGATTGTAGTAATTGATCTACTGGCATTTGAAAACTCGGGGCTAATCAGCTGAAGTGATTGTATCTGATAATCACCATGTTCCCAGTTGACTCTGGTTGCCAAGTAAAATTAATTTTTTAAACTAACTTTCATAGACTGTTTTCCTTTTTAAGTTTTGTGTTTCTCATTTTCTAACAGAAGGTGAAATTCTGGCCATTTTATATCTTGTCAAATCTCAGATTTAATCTTAGACTGCATTTCACTTCACAGCATTTCTTTCATAATCTGATCTTATCAACAAATGTGGAAACAGAGACTTTTTTTTTTTTTTTACCAAATGCTAACCAGAGTTTAAACATATCTCAACATCCAAGTTACTAATATTAGAATAAGTGAATTAGGGATATTTTTACTGAGGACTTGTGATACATCTCTACACTTTTTTTTTTTCCCCCCTCCTAATTGGTAGGATTGCTTAATAATTATTCGGTGTGAGGTGCTACACTGGAGCCTCAATGTTGCATACTTCCTGTGTGAATTTGGCCTTAAGACTCTAAAGATTCTTAAAACTCACATGCTTAACTTTAAGCACATTAACTTTTCTATTAACTTCAGTGGGATTACTTATTTTACGTTAAGAACGCTCATAAATCTTTGGGGCTTTGTTTTCTCTCTGCCTCAGATCTTAATCTGTAAAACAGGCACAATGTTATGCAGGTTATAAACTGCTATGGTCAGGAATTCCCAGCTCAGATTTTTTTCTGGCTGTATTTATAGGCAGGATCTAGCACAATGAGACTTTGAATTGTTATAAGACTACCAGGTGCTGGTTTAAAATACATATAATTGTATGTGTGTGTGTATAAGAAACAAAGCATGCTCCAAAGAAATCTTTTATATTTTCCTCCAATTGCAGCTTCATAGTTTAGTTGTCTTTTCCCTTTTTCAGCATTAGCTTTCTCTTTCATGAAGGTTATGGCTTCATGTACTTATTCAGAGCACTAAGGGCTCCTCTTTTATCTTCCCTATATGTGCATATATTCTAGTTGGTAAGAAAATGTGCAGCTCACCATTTCCATTTCTAAATTTAGTTGTGGTAGCATTTGTGAAGATGCTAGCTAAAAAGTAAGCTGTTTGGTTTCCTTGCTGTCTCAGCAATAATCTTTTGTCTAGTCATGTAACAAAGCCATCCTGTGAACAGGCAAACCAGAACAGGCTTAGGGCCAGCAACTGTTTTCAAATTGATAGGCTGCAGTGGGTTTTGTTTGTTCTCTGTAGCTCACTGTGAGTGGACACTAAAGGAATAATTCGTGAAAGTATTTAATAAAAATTCTGGCAGTTTTTCCAGCTACTTTCATAGGTGGGTAAGTTAATTATGAAAGCATCACAGCTTTTCTGAAGCATTTTTGGTTGGATGATTTTGTTGCTGCTGTTAGGTTCTTTTTGTTTCCTAAGTGGTACTCGAGCTACCTGTATTTCAATGAACAGAAAACTAGACCACAGCATCTCTCCCAAGGGATGGGCATGCTACTTACCCAGCCTTAGTCCAGGGGCTCAAAGGAGGGCTCCAAAACAGTTAAGTGGTCTGCAGTGTTTTTTCTGTGGTTTGCCAGTCTCATCAGTGTCAACCAACATCAGTGAGGTCTGGGGGAGCCAACTCCTGATCTCACTGAAGTCACTGGGACTTGCACAGAAAGTTTCCAGGCAACACTCCCATTCATTTATATGAAATTAGGATTTGGCCCTATTCACGTAAGCCATTCAATTTATCCATTGCCATCCACTGACATGTGAAAACACTTTTCTAGCAATGCATCTCCAAACACCCCCAAAAGCACTGCAGTTTACTGTAGTTTTGTGTAATGTCCTCTGCCATACTCCTCATTTGTAACACAAGCAGAGAAAATGCCTGGAAAAGTATGTCATTCTGAAGTGTTAGGGCCATACTTTTCATTATTTATGATTAAAATTTTCTTATTGGAAAGAGTAAACTGCAAAATCTGGTTTTTCAAGGGGCACAGGCTAACTCATAAGCCTTTATCACCCTTGCCTAGAACAAACATGTAAGCACTTTGCATCCGGATTTTGAACAACTTTTTTATTTGTTTCCTTATAGATACAGAGGATATTTGTGGCTTTAAATTTTCTTCTTAATTCATGTGATTTTATACAAACACTGTTCTTGCCACTTTTTAATAACACAGCTTGAGCTTCAGACCTTTTATATTCAAGGTAAGGTCAAAGAGTGATGAGAACAGAGAAAGGAAAGGGTTTTGTGACTTATATGGCTGTTACAGTAACTGTCAGTAAAGTACAGCAACTGGGTACCAGTATCTGATGGGGGGGAGGGACAAAGAGAAAAGGATGTGAAAGCTTGAACTTGTAGAAGAAACAGAATGAATAAGGAAATGCTAACTGTGTACAGATGAGTATCCTGTTTGTTCATACTGCAGTTAGATATGCCACATCCCTGGGAGGGATGGATAATTAATCAGGCTATACTTAAAGGAGATGTTACTGAAAGTAGAAATGTGACCTCCAGTCTTCTAAATGTGATAAAGCATGAGAATTTAAGTATCTTAAGCCAAGGATAAAAGTGCTCAGTTTTTTTCTTTATACATTTCTGAATTAGGGGTCGCCGCCTCTACTTCATTTTCCATAGTTCATCTGGCATCACTAACTGTATTTATCATTACTCTCTTGTACTTATGGAGTATTGATATAAGAGCAAAAGATTAATACTCTGTTTCACTTTTTCCTGCATAGTTACTCTTTTCCTGATGAGATGACCCTTTCAGATGAAGAACAAAGAAATGCTCCATTAAAACTTAGTTTTAAGTTAACTCAAAGTAGTGCATCTTGAATTCAGTTCTTCAAAGTGCTTTTCAAGGTTTTTTTGTTCCATAATTAATTATTTCAAAATTAACTAAAAAATCTGGGGTCTCCAAATATTTTTTTCTGGAATAGTTGACAAAACGGAATTGTTTGGAACTGTACAGAAAGGTGGAAAAAATGTTGAGCATATGTGATATTTTTACCCAAATGTGGTACTCTTCTCCCTGTGGCTGTGCTTAACTGCTGTACTAGCCTTTCAGTGAACAAGTATTAACTGTGATTAGATAAAAGAAACGAGATAAAATCTTCTTTTTTAGCCAGGTTAAAGGTTTGAAAAGAGTACAGTTGCCTGAATCTAGAGGTGATGGAACTGATACACAGATATTCTTTTCTTAAGGCTGTTGCTTGTCTGAAGTATCTGGCTGCAGATTTCTTGTGTACAAGGAAAGTTATAAATGACCATAACCATAAATGCTCAGCTGTGTGATGTGTGCATCATACTGCCAAACGCTTAGAGTTAACATTTTTCATGCTAATGCTGCTGTATTATTGAATTTTAGGATGGGCAGCTAACAGTGTGAGCCCGCCATCTATACCACAGCCAGCACAGAAACCAAACAGCCTGAATGTGAATGCTAACAAGACACCCCCCTTGAGAGGTGATTCAGTCATGTATTTTTTCAATTACTTTGCTTTTCCTTTTTAGCTGTGACTCTTGTATCTTTCCAGTTACTCTATCTTCCAGCTACTCTGTCTTAATAAAACCTATATTTATAGTAGTTACATGTTAATAAGCTTGTGCTCACTAATGAATCACTTTGTTTCGGTGCTGATTATATGTATGTGTATTTCTTTGGTAGGCTTCAGTGCTTGTAGTATGTCAGGAGGGTACTTTTGTTACTATGTAATGAGGGAGTTGAAACTACAGTTTCTTCTACTACTTTGAGTCACACAGAATAGCATCTGCATGCACTTTGTCTATGCTGAACAATGTTTTGAAGCTCTAGGAGGATATTGTGGCTAAAATACTGATAAGGCAGAAGAGCCCTAATTGCAAACTTGGTTTATAACATACATCATATCAGTAATCATCTGTTTGAAAATTCATTCACTTCATGCAACTGAACCAAGAGTGCATAGTCCTGCCATCTACTGAGACAAAGCTGTGCTCATTTTGACTAGGGTTTTCTGGATAAGTGAACCAAAAATATGTTGAATCCTTATTGATAGTTTGTAGCCTGTTCTGTGCATTCTCGTTTGATCAGAGGCTATGTTGAAGGTGTTCAGTTCAGAAGAAGAGTAACTTGTGTTTCTTCCCCTGCCTCCTGGGAATAAAAGACTGATGTTTTTCAGCTCAGCAAAACCAAAAAAAAAAGAGGGTTAAGGTTTTTTGGAAATGAATGTGATACAACAGCCATGGTGCTTCACCAGAAAAAAGGAACAGCCTTCAGCTGCTTTGAAATCTGTGTTTATTAAAGTGGCAGATACTCCAGTCTTGCAGAGCCTAAGATGAACATCATGCCAGGCAGAGTCTCTTTTACCCATAAATTCCTTGTGTCAGAAGGAATGCTTTCATGGAACACTATCTCTCTGAGTGGAAGAGCACAATTTCCTTCACTATCAGTATAGTACTTATTTTAATATCAGTATAATTCAGCATAGGGTTACAAAAAACAAAGCAAGTTATGATGGGCCTTCCTTATAGCACCCAAAATTGTCACTGCTTTAACCTGAACGTCTGCCCTGTTGGAATAAGAGAAGGTAGGAGACCTCTGTGAAATCTGCAAATCAGTATAGACACATTAGGTGCAATAATCCAGCTGCTGTTGGAACATACTCCTGGCTCAATTTTTTATAAAAATCAAATAATACACTCTAATACTAGAAGCTGAACTTGGGACTGGCTCTCAAACATATCCCCTCTCTCCAACCAATACCTTCACATTAAACTTGTTCCAGATGAGTAATGACCTTGTGTGGTCATATATACGGGGGACAGAACAGTTGCATGAACTGGAGTTAGGCAAAGGAGTCGAGTCCTGTAATAGAGGTTGAAAGTAAAATTTGCCCTCACTTTCGTTTTACTTTGTTGCAGGCATGCAGGTACATTGTACACAAATAAAATACCTTTCATGAAATGAAGCTAGACACGGTGAGATTGTTTCTACTTTTAAGTAAAGCAGTCTTGTACTTACCATTGGTAAGCAGCATACAAAATGCACAAGCAGACAGATGTAAAACATATATTCTTACTAAAGCTCTACATTCAGTTAAAGGTAGTGTTTTAAAATGCCATCACTCATTCTGATTTTCTTCTCAGAAGTGCCCTGAGTAATAAATTAGACAATAGCATAGCATTTGTTTGACCTCAGTCAAACATTCAGTCAGTTTTGTTTTAAAATAGCTGACAAGTCAGTACTCTTTTCTTTTCTTTTTTTTTTTTTTTTTCCAGAACCTACAAAGAATCCTAAAGATTTGACTGCCTGGTTCAGTCTCTTTGCTGACCTTGACCCGTTATCCAATCCTGATGCTGTTGGGAAAACTGATAAGGAACATGAATTGCTTAATGCATGACTCAGCTGCCTATGGTAACTCACATTCTTCCATTCATCAACACTATTTTGGAGTTTTAAAAAGAATAAAAATAAATAAGTGAAAATTAGTATGCTGTTGTGAAACTATGAAGTATGTGCCATGATAATAAAACTAAAGGGAATGAATCCCCTTTTATATAGGTACAGTTATTTGCTCTCGTTTTGTATGGAGTTCGCATTTATTTTCTACGTGGATTTACAAGAATTAGGGCAGGTTTCTTGCCAAATTAGATTATCAGCTGAAACACTGTCTTTGCCTGAGGTGAGGCAAAGCTAACACTGGAGTGAAATACAAATTGAAGACCTATTTTTTTATAATGTTTCTTCAGTAAATAAAAACATGTAACTGGGAAGGCTGCATGAGTCAGACATCTATCATGTATATAAAATATATATCAATGCTCTGTTAAAATGCCAACTAAATTTGTTTTGTTAGTACTTGCAGTGAAAAACCTGTGCCAGGGCTAATTATTGAAGAAATGCAGTTGGGTCCATGCAGCCATGGAAATTGCACCCTTTATGATTTAAGTTATTAGACAAACTGCACTACATAAATAGAAGTCATGCCCAGCAGGCTTCTTTTCTGAAGTTCTCTCCATTGCACCAACAGAATTTATACCTGTTTGCAGAAGTTTCTGACAACTGATGCTTTACCATGCTTTCAAAACATTCATATTTCTGTTGGGAGTATTTTTCATCCACTTTCTTTCTGAAGCATGCGTTATTTTGAGCTTGCTGTGACATTAACTCTTTAATAAAATGATTTTGACAAAAAGGTCCTTTCGTTCCCATGGGAATGCTGGTGCACTGTTGAATTGGTACATAACAAGCATCTGAGAATAAAACGTATGACCAGTTTTTAGACAGTACCTAATAACTTGCCCTGTTTCAGAATAGTAATCCAGTAGGACAGTAAGAAAATTTGAACTCATTCGGTGTCCCTTTGCCTCCCCATTCTCATTTTACAGCAAAGGAAGGGGAAAAGGATGTGGCAGTAGTAATTTAAGAGCACAAGTTGTGTGTGCTGTACTTTTGCAATTTGTTATATTTGGCGCTTTTTTAATTCAGTTTATTTTCCTTTTATGTTGGGGAAGCTTTTTGCTACCAGTTAACTGTACACTTAGGTAGACTCATGGTCTATTAGATAACTAAATACCTGCACTGGAAACCTGAAAATAGCTATGTAAACATAGAAGTTAACTGAATTGACCTGCTTCGTCTCAAATGCAGCACCCATCATTGACAGCCACACTAAGCAGCATTAATGTGCACTTTACAGCTCCTAGCTAAAACACTACATACTGTGACTATGGGTGTTGGACTGACCAGAGTTCATCTGGCTGAACCTTCAGCATGTTTGAAACACCTCTGTTCAAAACTGTAGGCCTGGAAGTGTCAAGGTACTTCAATTTTTTTCCAGAGAAATTTTTCAGATGTTTAGCAGAATGTTTTCATATACAACAGTTGTCTCTCTGTTCAGTACCCGACCCACCCATGTTACCAGCACTGAGGCTGGTAACGAAGGCATAGAAGCTGATGTAGATGTCTGTTTCTACAGATAAAATTTAATTCCTTCCACAGCATTTCCTGGTGTTTGGTACTGGCAGCCCCTTGCTCAATAAGCTGTCTTTTGTGAGATGCATAACCTTCTTGAGCATTGCGGGGGTAGCCTGAACTCCTGACTTTGTGCTTCAGCCTCTGGCAGTAAATAAGACACCTACAAAGTGGATTAACTGGGAAATACCTAAGGTTTATGCTGGGGTGCACTTACGCTTATGAGTGCTAGTTTGCAGGCATAATACGGGATTTTGCCCAAAGTCCTCTTCATCTCAAACTGTAATTATCTGCAATGCCAGAAATATTAGCAGCTCAAGAGATAGACAGACTGTTTTTCAGTCCAACGTAGTTACCACTGAAATCATAAAGCAGATTCTTGCAACTTTAAGCAAGTTTGTGGTTGCTAAACTTGCTCTGGATTACGTTTGCCTTGATAGTTGCTAAAATACTTGTGGACAATAGCATTTTTAGTAGCTGAAGCAGTTAGGCTAAAAACAAAGATGAGACTGTACTGCCTTCAAAACATCTAATTAACTCTTTTTAAAGACATTAAAAAATGTTTGGCTTTGGTTTTTAGGTCACAGATTTTAGACTTTCAGAATTTAAATTAAAAAGCAAAAAAGCTCCTGTCTTGATGGAACAATTAAGGGCATTGCACAAGTTCACGTAAAGATGCTCTGAATCCTCATCATGATTTTAGATAGAAAAACATCTGAATGATTGTCCTTTTTACACAAGAAAAATATTGTTTTCTTCTCCCTCCTCCACCCAACCTGCACTACTAATAAGTTCATATTAAGGTTCCTTATAGTATGTAATTTTTGAAAGTAACTTTAGCTTTGAATTCTCAGTCTCTGCCCTATGCAATTTTTTCACATTTTCAAATGAAAAACAAAATTAAAAAAAGGAGCCAAAGGTATTTAAAATACGATTAATTTTGCTTAAAGAAAAGCAACTGAAATCTCTATGTACAATGTATTAGTATCATGAACAGTTATTGAGCTGCAAACTGGAGCAAGAAAGCTAGCATCCTGCAAATATGATTTTTTTTCCAGACAAAATCTTATTTACAGAGTTACAAGCAATACTTCCCTACTTCCAGTGAGGTGTAGGGCATGTGCTTCTTAGCAGTTTGGGCTGCAGTGTCACTACACGCCTCAGTGCTGTTGGGAGAGATTTTCTGTGATGTAGTAGGGGGGACAACAGGGTAATTCATCATCCTGGTGAAGTTACGGATTGATTGTTCTTACCCCCATAATGTTCATCTTGATTTAATACGCTTCATTCCCATGGCTTATTCTGGGTTAGTAGTGGTTTGTTTTAAAATAAAAACAGCTGCAGAGCCCCTGTGGCAGATGAAAACAGAGGTAATTGATTAACTGTCTTTATCAGGAAGTTTATTAAAGTTGATGTAATTGATTTTGGTAAGTCAAGGTTTCTACAAATCTAGGAACAGCTGCTCCAGGAGAACTGGAGCACGCGCTTTGGGAGCAGAACAGCTCATAGAGAAAATTCACAAGTAACTTTTTCAAGTAACTTTTCTGGCTTTGTTAAGCTATCAAAATTAACCTCTAACATAGTATAATACAACTTACTTTGTTCCCTTCTGCTGGTTCAATATCCAGCGTTGCATGGGCACGACATTGTTGTACATCGAAGCGGGACCACTTGGCCACAAGCAACCACCTGCCTTCCCCCAACACCCTATTTTAAATGGGTGCCCTTCAAATGTTAGGGACTGCCCATGCTAGAAGAAACAGGACTGCCTAAACAACAAGGCAGCTGGGAGTGGAGAAGGAGCACAGGAAGCAGGTTTGCTCCAAGTGGGAATAGCAGCAGGCCTACAAGCCCTGACAGCTCCAGGATCAAAGCCTGGAAATGCTCAGTAGAGCTAGAGATTAACATGAAGACATGGCTCTCAGGTGTTGTGCATCATGATGAGCTTTCCTGGGGCCTCTGTCTCTTCCATTTGACATCACATCCCACCAACAGTGTCATGGGATACTGGATGAGCACCACTGAGGAAGGAATGAATGGTGGTTATACTGTCCATACTTGCTGCTAGGAGTATGTGGGGTGGAGTAGCCCCAGGATAAAGGAAGAAGAGCTGGAAAGACTTATCTTCTCTGAGTGCAGTTCCCAAAGGATTTTCAGACTAGCTGCAAGACACTGACATGGTAAAGGTGCAGCCCCTCATCACTTCTCCGGGCTCCCTTCCTGCAGTTACTGCTTCCACCCATGTGGTCCAGCACAAGCTGCTTTTTTCTCCCTGTTAGGGGGCACAGGGCAGGCCAGCACGGAAGAGCTGGGCAGTGCAGTTTGGCCCAGTCCTGCTGACTCATCTCCTCCATGAGGGCTAGTTGCAAGCTTTGGACTTGGGCCATAATAAGCCATAGCCAGCTAGGGACCCAGAGTATTTATAAGCGTTGTTTACAGGTACGTAAGTAACTGAAAGTTGAGTCCTCACTGCAACCCAGGCACACTATCTCATCTAGCATTTGCTGTATATCCCCCTCTGGTTAGCCTGCTTTTAGTTTCTGCTCCTTGTAAATGGCGTATTTTTAAACAAGCCACCATATGGGAAGGCAGGAAGCAGAGCAACAACCAGGCTTGACAGTAGCTAAGCAGCAGAGGATCTTCCTCATCTGAGAAGCAGAAACACTAAGACAGTCTAGTGCTATGCTGGCAAACCATGTACAAACAAGTTGCTTCCCACTGCTGGGGCTGCTGGCATTGCTCTGCATGTGCTCAGTGCACAGACACCAGCTGCCATGGTGCACAGGAAGTGAGCACCATGTCCACACACACACACACTCACTCCCATGACAGTAAATGAGGCTTCTATGGGCAAACAGGCCCTGCAGGTTCAGCAAATTTGGCCTTCGGAACCCATCCAACCTCCAGCTGCAAGGCAGACTGACGTTACCGTCAATCAGACCATTACCCAGGTGTTCATTAACAGTGCTCTCCTAAGCATAAAATTGACTTTTCTCCTCATTGACTAATTAGAAACCAGTATAATCTTCCCTTTAAGTAATACAAGGTATTTGCCTGCACAGGGGCCAACCATGTTAAACATGCTGGAGCAAGTCCAGATTAGAGCAGGAAGATGCTCTGAGGTCTGGAGCACCTCTGCTATGGAGACAGGCTGATAGAACTGGGCTTGTTTAGCCTGGAGAAGAGAAGGCTCTGAGGAGACATTATAGTGGTTTTCAAGATATAAAGGAGGCCTGTAAGTAAGACTGAGAGAGGCTTTTTACCAGGACCTGAGGTCCTTGGTTGATATTCAAGGATCACCTGCTACAAGCTCAGGAGTGTTGCATCCCAAGTAGAAGGAAGTGCAGCAGGAGGGCCAGGAGACCTCCTTGGATGGATAAGGAGCTCCTGAGGAAAATTCAAATGAAAAAAGAGGCTTATAGAAAGTGGAAGCAAGGACAGGCAGCCTGGGAAGAGTACAGGGATGTTGTCCGGGAAGCTAGGGACCAGGTTAGGAAAGCTAAGGCCCAGTTAGAATTACCTTGGCTAGGGATGTTATGCATAACAGGAAGAGATTCTACAGGTACGTAGCGAATAAAAAACAGACTAGGGAGAATGTAGGCCCCCTCAGGAAGCTCTCAGGAGAACTGGCTACCCTGGGTTTGGAGAAGACTGAGGTTCTGAATGAATTCTTTGCCTCGGTCTTCTCTAGCAAAGGCTCTGACCACACCACCCAAGTCTTGGAAGGCAGATGCAGGGACTGTGAGAATGAAGACCTTGGGCCCACTGTAGGAGAGGATTTGGTTTGAGACCATCTTAAGAATCTGAACATGCACAAGTCCATGGGTCCTGATGAAATCCATCCGTGGATCCTGAAGGAGCTGGTGAATGAAGTTGCTAAGCCACTGGCCATCATATTTGAGAAATCATGGCAGTCACGTGAAGTTCCCAACGACTGGAAAAAGGGAAATATAACCCCCATTTTCAAGAAGGGGAAAATGGAAAACCCAGGGAATTACAGACCAGTCAGTCTCACCTCTGTGCCTGGCAAAATCTTGGAGCAGATTCTCCTGGAAGGCATGCTAAGGCACATGAAAAACAACAAGGTGCTTGGTGACAGCCAGCATGGCTTCACTAAGGGGAAATCCTGCCTGACCAATTTGGTGGCCTTCTATGATGGGGCTACAGAACTGATGGACAGGGGTAGAGCAGTTGATGTCATCTACTTGGACTTGTGTAAAGCA